ATTTGCTCTCCCACGGCCTTTACTTAGTAATCCACCATCTAGCTTCTAGGTTTGTGGTGGAAATATTGGATGCAAGTATGATTTTTTTTTTTTTTTTGGTTATTGTTGTTAAGTAATTTCTTATCGTTGGTGAAATCTTGCATACTTGGGTTTTCTGTTTGTTTTTGTTTTGTTTTGTTGTCACTTTAAGAATTTAACTACAAACTTTATTTTTAGTTTCCCAGGACCTCAAAGAGCTCTTTCTATCTGCGAGTTTGAGCCTTTCATTTTAAACACTGATTTTTCACGTCAAAGGACTGCTCCTCCTTCCATCTGGTCTTCATTCTTCTCTCCAAATTTGCTCTTTAGGTCCTTGAATTTGTTCTCAGAGCCTCTATTTTTCCTCACGAATTGCATCTTTTCCTCTGTTTGCTCTGTGTAATGAGCTTGTCTTCTACTTGGTCTTCTAAACATCCAATTCTTACTTCAGCATTGACTCCCCTCAAGTCTCCGTTCCTTGCAGATTTTTTTAAATGTGGAAACTATGTTATTCAAGTAACAAAAAGCCTTTTAATCCTGCAATTGGATCTACTTTAGGCTCTTATAGGTATTTGTTTGTTTGTGTAAGATGTCCTCTCTTTCCCAGCAGATCTGTTTCCTCAAAGGTTGCCTGCCAGTTATGAGCATTCAGCCCGCACTTCCTTTTTCTGGCTGTTGAACCCCATACATGATTCTAGGATCTCTTTTCCTTGTGGAAGTTAAGTTGCCATAATCAGCCACAGCACACCCTAGCGTGGCAGGAGCCCTCATTGTTGGCTGGTGACCTAGTGACCTGAAAGTTGCCATCTCCCTGCTGGGGCCCTGCCAAGTCACCTCTGAGCTCCCAGCCTTCAGTATCCTCACCCTCCCAGGCCCCAGAATAAGAGGGAACCCAGTCCCTGTGTGGGCCTCCCATAGTTTTTCTGACCTCTGAGGTTATACCCCTTGACGACACAGGAGTACAAATGTCTCCCTCCTCCTAGGACTATTTGTGAGGCAGGCAGAACCTACAGGTCTCCCTGTGGCCCCCTCACCCCCAGCACAGAGCTTCAGGCCTGGCCTTGGGTCTCTGCACCAGTGATCCCTGCCTTGTCGCTATTCTCAGTGTTGAATACTGCCCTGCTCTTTCCTCTTAGAATCTGGCAGAGCCTGAAGATCTGCAAGAAAGCAGGCCTCTGGGCTCTGCCTTTTGGCTGGGTCCCAGCTGCTACCCTGCGTTGCACACGGCGGGAGTGGAGTCAGGGCTGGAAGGAGGGGTCACGGGGATCCAGGCAGCTCTGGGAGGCCTTCTCAGGCCAATGAAGGAGGCCTGGAGAATTTGAAATACAAGGCCTACGACAGGGGTCTAGAAAAATACAATATATTCCAAGGGAAAAAAAAAATGATGGATGTCAGAAACTAAGAAGCAGCAAATCCTGTAGAGTTTAAGACAGGGGAGAAAGGGAATAAAAGTGTAGCAAAAACTGATGGTGAGGTCTACCTTGGGGTCAGGGGGAAAGGTGCTGTGACCAGGGAGGTATAGGGAGCCTAGGAGTTGAGGTAGTGAGATGACACTTACTGTTCACAAAGTTTACTCTGGAAGGGATGCCTTTGGACAATATTACAGTAAGAAGAACACAGGCTCTTGAATTAGGATATATATATATATATATAATATATATAAATATAAATATACACACACACACATACACACACAAATACACAGGTATATATATATGATGTTATATATAACATAATCTTGAGACACAGTGTTCTCATGATCTCATATGTAATTCACAAATTGATATGGTAGAGAAAGAAAAGCACCAAGCACATGGTAGGCATGCAGTGAAGGCTACAATTCTTGCTCTTGCCTCTTACTATTAGATCATAGATTCCTTGAAAACAAAAACATCCCTGAATCCCTGAAACTTAGTATGGTGCAGCCTAATGACTCTTTCGGCAGTGCATGATAGAGTCCTTTTGAATACAGAATCAGTGGAAGGGGTTCCTCGTGGGGCAGCAGATGGTACAGTGAAAAACAAGGAAAAAAAAAACAAAAACACCTCTAAGTTCAGGTTATAAAACCATGTCTTCTGTGTTCTTTCCATCACATCACTTTGTTTCTCCATAAAACTACATTATAAAACAACATTATAAAATGTCCTCTTGTACATAATGTGCTACTAATCAAGTCATTTTCCAATTCTAGTGCCTCTCTTTCAAGATACTGAAGAAGCTTTTTGGCATGTGACTTATTCTAGTCTCTGGACATTGGCTTCATAATGGTAATCATACTGGTTATATACCAGTGGTACTGTGTGATACAGTTTGTCTCCCTCCCCATAGTTATCATCCACTAAGACATTTCGACCTCCTTTCTGGCAGTGGAGCATTCCTACAAGGATTATGGGGGGGAGATGCATTTTAGGAAGAACTGAGATAGGAACATGGTGGCAGGCTGCGGCAAGAAGATCCTGCTGGTCGTGACACAAGTCTGGCAGGTTTTTTCAACCAGGCAGTAAAGAGCTGAGGTGACAGGAAGTGTGGAAAGCTGGAGAAAGATTTCAGAGTCACACGAGAGGTGGTGCCAAAGGAAAACTAGCAGGGTTATAATTCTGTTGTAGAGAAAAGAAGAGGAAAATAAAAATTGAATTTGGGGCTTTCCAGAGAGCTTTCTAGGTAAAGAGGATGTTTGGTCAAGACCGGTATTTAGAAGATTGGATTACTTCTCCAAGGCACTCAGTTTTCCTTGCTTTCTGCTCTCATGAATGGTGCAACCCAAGGGGACAAGCCTTCCTAGGATAAATTAGCACTTAGCTTTTGTGAAATCACCAACCCCAGAAAAACAAAACAAAACAAAAAACAATGAAAGTTTTCCCAACTAATACTAGTGAAGCAGGTCATTTCCACATACAAAGATTAGTTGATAAACTGAACGCTCCTGAAGAAAATCTACTTTCCCTGAAGAGAAAGAGCATGGGCTATGAAGTCAGATGGTCCTTTTCTTTCCCCGGACTCTGTTAGGTCATCACTGAACTGTCCCCATGTGTCCTCATCTGTGATGATCTTTAGTGATATAATTCATATAAAGCAGTAGAGGTCCCAGCATATAATCTGTGCCCCTAAAACATTAGCCACTAGTATTAATTAATGTTATTTCTCAGAGGTAGAAACTTCTTTAGCTATGGAAAGCTTTTATAGAAATGGCTTAATAGTAGCTTAATAGAAATGGCTTAAACATACATAATATTTATAGTATAGAGATTTGTTGGACCCTACAGCACTATCTTAATAAATTACAAATACATTGTCCGCATCAAATATTAGTGTATGGATGCAATGATTATAAGGAAGAATGTTGTTGGGCGCCTGGGTGGCTCAGTTGGTTAAGCGACTGCCTTCGGCTCAGGTCATGATCCTGGAGTCCCGGGATCGAGTCCCGCATCGGGCTCCCTGCTCAGCAGGGAGTCTGCTTCTCCCTCTGACCCTCTTCCCTCTCATGCTCTCTATCTCATTCTCTCTCTCAAATAAATAAATAAAATCTTTAAAAAAAAAAAGAAAAGAAAAGAAAAGGAAGAATGTTGTTAAATAATATGTAGTATTTTATATTCTCAAAAATTAATGCTGAATCTAACTTTATATTTAAAATGTGGCCGCTTTTTAAAATTGGAAAGCTGAAAATATCAGGATTTTAAAAAACTCTTTACAAGTTAATAAACAAAAAAAGAAGAATGAAAAAATATCAAATTTATATAAAAGGCACAATTTATTAATATAAAGGACATAAAGCACATTCATATAGATAGTCATTTAAGCTAGAAAAATATGGATACAAACTTTCAAAGTGAATTATCAGTTGCATCAAATTTGGGGGAAACACAAAGATATAGTATTTCTCTATACCTTAGTAAGAATGAATAAAAAATGGAATAAGTAAAATATTTACTTTTGATGGGATTGAAATGACAATTTGAACTCAGTATCTACAGATATCTTAGGAGAGATAGAGTATACAAAGAATAAATTGTTTTTGTTTTTTGGTAAGCAACTAAAAACTAAGACATATTATTGTCCTATCTGTTATTTATATTAAAATAAAAACCCAAAGTCTATATTCAAATAGATGAAAATACTCACGTACATACATGATTTCTTGTCAAAATGCATCCTTCCCTGACCATAAAAACTTCAGAGGAAAAAAAAAATTCACTTTCCTGAAGTCTTTAATGTTTCTTAGACTATGGTTTTATCTTTCTTCTCAGTATAGCCCTGGAAAAGCAGTTTGAATGCAAAGCCCCTTGACAAATATCTGCCTTTTAAAAGATGTTTATTTAATATACAAGAAAAGAAATGCCTCTGAGGAAAGAGGATAAAGGAGTTAGGATTTATAACTTCTAGGTTGAAAAACAAGATATCAGAAAGCCATTTAGTTTCCTTTACGCTGCTGATTAAAGCCTTCATTTTAACCTTCATTATAAATCGATCACGTTAATCACTAAGCTGTTTTTACACAATTAATATTAACGTTCTTCAATCTTATCCCTGACTCCCCTGAAAAGCAGTAGTTGGATTTTATTTATTCAGTGTATTGAATCAGTATTTCATTTAAAATAGAACCCTGTAAGCTGGTCTCTATTTATGTGAGATATAAACGTCATGCTGATCTACATACATAATGCTGTGTCATAGAGAAATCACAGCTGTAAAATAATATAGTCTTTAACAATGTCATTTTGAAGTAACTGGTGAAAGGAAAAGATGCATGAATCATTTTAGAAAACATATTACTGCACTTCCTAGAACAATCAAAGCACTGTGTGTAACATCTCATTCTGCTGAAATAGCTTATAGAATCATAAATAGCCAATGCTCAGTTCCTGTAATTAATGTTAGGCAGTTAAGAATGGCAAATCAATGTTCCTTTGGGTTCCATTTTTAGAAAACAGTAGGCATTTCAGCCATTTGCTGGCTTTATCGGTAAAGTTAGAAACTAGACCCAACTACACATACTGACTCCTGGAGTACACACTCGGTGACTTCTTTTCCATGTGATAGCTTTTCTGGGTTGTGCGATGGGAAGGGACGGAGTATCTGTAGCTTCGGCTCTTTTCACTGTAACAGGAAACACAGCAGAACAGTGCCCCGCCAGCAATCAGCACCAGCGCCGTGGTCCAACCTATGTAGAGAGCATCTCCAAGCTCGTGCTTTTGGGCAGTCTCCACTATCGGGTTGTAGAACTCTCTGATGATGGAATTGGCAACCCAGCTCACTGGGATGAGCACCAGGACGCCTGTGACGATGAAGATGATCCCAGCCGTTAGCAAGATGTGACCTTTCACTTTCTCGTCGTCCCCAGTGCACTTGGTGCATTTCATGCCCAGGACAGCGGTCATGAAAGCCAGGAAGGACAGCACAGAGGCAGCACACATCAGCCCTCTGGATGCCTGTAGGTCCGGAGAGAGCGCCAACAGGGAATCATAGACTTTGCATTGCATCCTGATGTTAGCTTGCCTCACGCAATTCATCCACAGTCCTTCCCAGAAGTTTTCAAAAACCACAATGTTGCTTCCGATGAAAGCAGACACTCTCCACTGAGGCATGATGGTGACAGCCAGCGTGCCCACCATGCCAACACCACCAAGCACCAGTCCAGCGATTTGCAGGGCGTAGGTAGCCATTGTCCTCCAGGATGGGTTTTATCCCACCAAACTCCTGAGCCGGTAGGAGCAAGTTTCTCTGTGCCTCAGGAGAAAACAGTTTTCCTGCAGTAATGAACTCAGAGCCCAGTGGTTTTTCAGAGCTGCTTTGCTACTTCTAGCTGGATTAAATCCAGTGTTGGCTGGCTGAAGTGCCACCCCCCCCCCCACCACACACACACATTGACTAGGACAGGTAAACTTACAAATCAGGTGGGGCAACTTTCTCAGCCAATAAAAGGGGGATGGTAACCCAGGCTGTGTCTAAACCGACAAGAGATACTTGGAACGACTGGACCTGCACATAAACATTCTTTGTACTTCTCAGTTTTCCAAGAAGACAGCAATATGTTTACCTGCAGGCACAATTACGAATGTTTGCACAATCATCAAGAAATGCACCAATCTCTTGCAACATCAAAGGTGTACTTTGTACAGGCAATTCTGAAACTCTTTATAAGAGCTTCTGTGACCAAGGCATAAAATAAAATAACCTGCCTAAGAAATTGGCTAGGACTGTCAGAATGCCAAAGTGAAAGGAGAGTAGGGGATTGATAGATTGCTCATACCTGGGAAACCACATTCTTTGGGACACATGTGATCCAAGTGGTTGATTTAATGTGTCTACAATTTCAAAGCAAGTTTGACTGTGGTGAAATCAGGGAACTGATCACACCAAGGACAAAATAAGACGAAAGTAATTAAATATACAAGGTTGTTCTCCTCCATGGTACCAAACACATATTGTTCTCTTTTGAGCCAGAAAAACTACTTGATTGGTACTTTCCTGATAATCTTGATTTATAAGAGAAACAGTCGCAGAAACAATAAATTAATCCATATGATTTTCTTATGTAGCAAGTATGCGTGATAACAAGCAATGAAGTGATTTACAAATCTGTCTTCTTCTGTGGCTCTATCTTTGCGGCTCTGTCTTCCTAGACTAGAGGAACTCGAATTCTGTAGATGGTACAAGAGTCCTGGGTCTGTGTAATGGCTGATATTTCTATATGAAATATTTACAGGATAAGGTGACTGTGTTCTTGAATTGAATTGTATTATGTATTAACTAAACTGGTCTTTAATATCATGTCTGTAGGGGGAGATAGAAGCCCCAGAATGTAAAGCAATTTGAACTGTTTCTTCTCAAAATAACGATGTTGACAGCGGTGGTGCAGAAGTAAACATGGATGTTGATTTGGGAAACTCTGCTAGCAATTTTCCCCGGATATCCCCTGGAGTGCCCTTCCTTTTCAAATCTTTTCAAATTTCGAGCTGTACTTTTATCTTTACATCAAAAAACAGTCTTTTCTTTACAATTTTACTTCTTCCCTGCTTCCTTGTACGACCTGAACTCTGAGTATGGGGGAAGGTGTTTTTTGCTCATTTATTAAACTTTAAAATTTTAATGGTTTCAAAAAATCTGAGTAGTTTGCAGAGGTTATGGAAACAAAAGTGGTACACGGTAGGGAGGGGAAGAGGAAAATGCCAGAATGAACTGTCTTTGGAAAAACAAATAAAGCAAAAGAAATGGATAGTAGTCCAAATTGTTAATTTATTAGAGGGGACAGTTTGAAAGTTAAGAAATTAACACTTGATACTTACAATAATTTTCTCATTTGTTGTCTTGTTAAGGACTAAACTATAGGGTGTTCCTTATGCTGACAGAACTATCTAGCATTTTCTCCTTCAGGCTTGTATCAGTTATAGATTTGTGATGGAGCAGGAAATAGGTTGATCTTGGAGAAAGAATCTGTCATCCACAGTAAAATAGTTGAAATCAAAACAGATTATTTTTTATCTTTAATTGCCAATCTGGGAAAAGGAGTGGCATAGCTGGTTGAACTAATGACTAAATATAAATTACATAAATATTATACACACACACATACACACACACACACGTATATATACACACGTAGGGAATCAAATCAAAATTTCTTTTTTAAATCCACATGTGACATATTTTTAGGAGCTCTGTTAAGATATAGCTGAATATCCTCATAAAAGTGGGAAAATTTGAGACAGAAACAGGAAATTACATATGTGAGTGCCTCTGCCTTCATAGGAGCTGCCTCCCAGGTGCACACCGATGGACCTGTTGACTTCGTGTACTATCAAACCTCTCCTTCCTTAAGCATTGAGCTTAACCTGGACCTTACTTCACAAAAAATATTTTTCTCATTTCAAAAATATTAGTACTCTACCACTGAAATTGTCCTGGCCAGAAGATTAGGATCAGAATGAGAAACCAACCCTGGGTTCACATTAGAATAATTATAGAGGTAGCTTGTCCTAGCAGAAACTAGCCTAGGGCATCCAGGTAGGTTTCTTATCACAGAGTGATCCAGCTAACCCCATGATATTTTGAAATAATTGTGCCCTAAAGGTCGTAGGAAATGAGAAAGACAGAGAAAAATGGTAATACCAAGTTTGCTAGGGACAGAGAGGCCTAAATTCAGAGATTAAACAGTCAAGTTAACTGCCTACCTGCCTTTTCTTATAATATTATGTCTCTAGGAAATGACTAACTTGCCTGCGAAATTCAGAAAGCAATGATGGTTGGAGAATAAACACATTGATAACATTTTTGCTGTTCTTTAATTCAGAACTACAGAGCAACCAACATGATTCTATAATCTGTACTTCCATTTCTATGGAAGAAGCAAAAGATTACCAAGAACCCGTGAAAGAAAACATGCTCATGTTGACCCATTGTATTCACTCTCTGGAGGTCTCCCTTTTGTCTATATTATCAGAAGCATGATTTAAGTTTAGCAATTAAATTTACTAAATTAAATTCAGCCCTGATAACTACATAACACATGCAAATGCTTTCCCTTTATAAATGATAACACACAATGTCATTGTCAGACTGCCCTTGGTTTTGTCATCCTTATTCCTACAGCAATTAATCTTTAACCAACAATCCTTTAGTCTGGGGTTTCTATTAATTCTTATCACTACTTGAAATAATCTTTGCTTCTGCCAATCAAGCAGTTGCCAATTTCTATTGTTTTCTGGATTTGCTTTTGTATTTATTTTTCTCTGTTGTGTTGACAGTTTCAACCTGTATTTATTTTTAATTATTTTTCACTGTTAATTAACTGTACTTGGCTGATCATCTTGTCCTGAGAAAACAAGCGAACATATCAATAGATCTCTTTGTGTATGGTTCCCAAAATAATATTGTGCATTGCTACATGTTCTTGAGCTATCACCCTATTTGTCCTTCATAATGACCAGCTGTTCACGTTCTCTGTTCTCAAAGCCCTGTATCCATTAGCAAATCCCTCCGTATTTGCCCCCTCTATGGTTTATAGTTAATTGCACTATGAACTCCTTCCTGTATACTAATTATCTAGTGTCTTAGTCACTTCAAGTTGCTTTAACAAAATACTGGGAGCTTAAATAACAGAAATTAATTTTTCCCAGCTCTGGATGCTGGGAAGTCTGAGATCAGGGGACCAGCTGGTGGAGTTCTGGGGGGAGCCTTTTTTTTTTTTTCTGGTTTGCAAATGGCCATTTTCTTGCTCTTTCTGGCAGTGAAAGAGAGAGAGAGAGCTCCACTTTCTCTTCTAATAAGGACACTAATCCCATCATGAGGGTGGAGCCCTCATGACCTCATCCATCTAAACCTAATCACTTCTCAATGACCCCCACCTCTAAAAACCACTGCATTAGGATTTCAAATGCGAATTTTGGGGGGAGATGAAGCTGCAATCCATGACATCTAGATACTAACAAATCAGATTAATTAATCCACATCTGAAAGGTCTATTCTTAATGTCTCAGGAGTTCTCTTTATTCCAGAACTCCCTCCCCAAGAAAACATAAATGTAAATAAAAAATAGACCATGGAATAATGTTTACTGAAATGTTTTTATCTTTCTTCTAATTTCCACTGCATTTTTAAAAATGAAAATCTGAGTTGCTGTGAATTCTGACATATTTGAAGAAATAGGTCCATGTGCTTTACCAAGCCTTGTGATATCCCCAGTAAAGGACTGGAAATCCAGGGAAATAATTCTTTTAAAAATTAAGTTATATACTGTGCAATTATTTTGTGTGGGAATTAATGAGTAATTTCTGTGGACAGAACTGACATGAACTGCCCTAATTCTAATGAGCTGGGAAAACTTTTTCAAGGAGCTGGAATTTGCTAGTAATAATAACTAATGGGTATTAAATGTTGCCCATGTCAAAGATTCCTTATATGCACTACACCTTATGTTTAAAACATCCCTCGAAAGTACCCTTTTCTAATTGAATACATTAAAACACAACAGAGACTACGTCTTTTTTAAGGCTACAGAGCTTTTACTTGCTGACTCCCCACAAATGGAGCCCAGATTTGGACCTAAAGCCTGAGTCTTTTCCTGTATGCCTAATATCTACCACCCCCCCAAAAAAGAAAATAACAACAACAACAACACCAACAAAACTAGAGAAAGAGAATGTCTATGACACAGGTGGTCAGAGTTAATGAAAACAGTGAAATTTGTTCAACATGCTCTTTTTTTCCTTCCTAGCATGTTGTTGAAAACTATTTATAATGCCAAGCTTTGTGATTTTTTTTCCCAAATATCTGAGACACTGATATTTGCATTCTATTTCTTTAGATACTCTATTCAGAGACATTTTTACTGGGGCAATCACACCACCGTTATTCCTTATTTAGAGTTTCAGAGTCCCCTCAATGAAGTCGCCATTGGTACTCCTTTCTTACCAATCTCCCATTCTCATCTCCATCAATAACAAACTTGGTCATGGTATTAATTAATAATCTAACTGCCACTGAACATATTTTTGGCTAAAATAAGAATTAAACAAAGTCAGTGCAATGAAGTGAACCACCTCAGGTACTGGTGCCCTAGGCTTATTGTAATACAGGACAATTTCACTTTGTGTTTTGCAGAGACTTATTAGTGGCCCACAAAGGTATGACGTCATGGTCACCTTCATTAGTTCACTAGAATGCTCTTTTCAGTGACTCACTAACACCTCTTCTACCTTTGACCAAAAGCCAAAATAAACAGTTTTAAGTTGCATAAACTGCATTCCACAGTTACTTGGGGAA